GGTAACAACAAGTACCATCTTTTAACGTCTTTTGGTATGACGCGGCAGGTGATCGAACCCCGGATCTTCCGCTCTCCGGGCGGACGCTCTACCACTAGACCACGGAGGCGGTCTGTCGTCATAGGAGTCATACGTGGGGGTCGAGCGGTCAGAATGTGTGCCATGTCCCATGTGTTATGGCATTAGAGCTTGAAACATTTCTCATACTCACGTAAAGAATTTAAATGCGATATTACTGTTTGGGGCGTTACACAACATTCAGTCCCCTGCTTTTGAGAGGACAACGTAAAAATCCTGCAATTCTCTAATGTCCTTCAGCAGATGTTCGCAGCTTAAGTTTGGTCAGGACAGTAAAACATATTCTTGGGATCTTCTGTCCGGGTGCGCGCCCGTAAGGTGGTAATTTGATAGTCAACTCCTTCCCCCATCATGACATACCAATTTTAACTGAAGCGTAACTCCAATAGGAGTGAGTGAGTGTGGTTTTACGCCGCTGTCAGCAATATTCCAGCAATATCACGGCGGGGGACACCAGAAATGAGCTTCACACATTGTACCCATGTCGGGAATCGAACCCGGGTCGTCGGCGAGACGAGCGAACGCTTTAACCACAAGGCTACCCGACCGCCCCTCACTATAGGAAACAAGGTAAAGGTGGAAGCAGCGACCACACTAACAACCCTACCAATTCACAGATGCGACACATGGCTAGATGATAGTTACAGACACGTTTTATCAAGTATGTTGTTTTTAAGTATCATTACGTTAAAAGCTAAACCCTCCGCCTACAAAAGACATTATTCAAGTAGTGAACTGAAACAAAGACACATATAAATATAAAACAGCAACACCAGAGAATAATCAGGTTCGATTACCTGAGGAAACAGATTCCTTTGGGAGGAAAAGGTAAAATAGAGGTGGCAATTATATGAATGGACTTGTGTGTATTCACAATACCAAATAGAGTACTTGTCCTTCTCAAACTTGTCCCAGAAGAATGGCAAAGCAACTTTGTCCGTGTCCTCATTGGCTTTTGAGTTGAGTGAGGACTGGCATATAGACTTTGAGTCCTACAAGTGGACCAAGCTCAACCCTGATGATGCCAAGACGAAGACTTTGGTGCAGGAGTACTTCACCTGGGAGGGCAACTTTGATGGCAAGAAGTTCAACCAGGGCAAGATCTTCAAGTGCTCATGTTGCAAACATTCACTGGGAAATCAGTGCTGAACAGTTTTACTGTCATCGACAAATATGATAAAGAAAATGAATAAACAAGGTGTCAAGGGGGAAAAAAATAAAAAATTTAAATTAAAAAAATTATATGAATGGATCACTGAAAATCAGTGATGACACCAGGTGTTAAGGATGAGCATGTTTCGCCCTGCCGGAAGCACCCACCTCACACAGTTAAAAAAAGTAAGTGAATGTTGACTAGCGCCGCACTCCCGCAGCATTACCCCGGCTTGTAAACTATCGAGTCTTGACCAGACGATCCAGCGGTGGACCAGACAATCCGGTGACAATATTTGATAAGGGATCGATATTAACGCCATCTTTAGGAACAGGGAACGACATCTAGGTATTAGCGGTCCCGTTCCACAAAGCGATCGTAGCGCTAAGACGATCGTAACTGCCATACTTTAACATTGACTTACGGCAGTCTTAGCGCTAAGATCGCTTTGTGGAATGGGGCCCTGGAATGATGTTTGAAGACTCGTGAATAAATAACAAGTATGATAATCCATTTGTAGATAGCAATATATACAGAGAAACCTGAATACTCTGGATGTGACCGAATTAATCAACCGCGTTATGGAATAGTGATTAAGAGAATAGAGTTTATCCCCACAGTCAGCAATATACCCGCTATGTCATCGCGGTCTATAAATAGAAGAACCTGGACGGGACAAACCAGAAACTGACAACATATGCATCGACCCACGGCATCCATCGGAGCATGATGACATGATCACAGCACCAGACCACCAGCTCCACTTTATTCGACTCTTAGGACAAGGAATGGTTAAAAGAGGGGAAATATAACCTGAAAATTTGTTGCGTAGCAAATAGGTCAAATGTGAAGGTCAGAGGTCAAGGTCATACATCCGTCATCTGTTTTTTTAACATTTAGTAAAAATGCAGCCGTATAGGTTTAAATCCACTGCACAATGCCCCTGCTTGTTAAATAATACGAAATATATTATAATTATATCGAGCTGTATACGAAATCTGTCTCCCCTCTTCACCGTCCCACGTCTATCTGCCTACGTCTACTAGTCCATAAACTCTGGAGCTATCGCTTTTGTTTGTTTGTTTGTTTGTTTGTTGTTTAACGCCGCACTCAGCAATATTCCAGCTACATGAGGCGGTCTGTAAAATAATCGAGTCTGGACCAGACAATCCAGTGATTGACATCATGAGCATCGATCCACGCAATTGGAATAGATGACATGTATCAACCAAGTCAGCGAGCCTGACGACCCGATCCCGTTAGTCGCCTTTTACGACAAGCATAGTCGCCTTTTACGGCAAGTATGGGTTGCTGAAGACCTATTCTACCCCGGAATCTTCACGGGTCCTGTAGCTATCGCGACTCATTTAGTTAAGATAGTACTAAGATCGCTTTGTTAGACTTTGCTCTGGTCCGAATGTTTGGTAAGTATATCCATTGGGTTTAAGATAAATTATAGATACTCCAAGATGGTAAAATTGGCCAAATTCGTCTATTTATATGCCAGTTTTATTGAGGAGCATAATATACTTATAAGTCATTTTGTGAAAAAAAAATTATTAGCGAAAAGACTTGATGTATAACATCTTAATAGACCATCAAGTTTCGTTAAACACACATCAGTAAAATTCCAGCTATATGTTCAACAAATAATCTAGTCCGGACCAGACAATCCAGTGATTGACATAATTAGCATCGATCCACGCAATTGGGATCGATGACATGCTTCAACCAAGTCGGTGAGCCTGACCACCCGATCCTGTTAGTCGCCTCTTCCGACAACCATAGTCACCTTTTACGGCAAGCATGGGTTGCTGAAGACCTATTCTACCCCGGATGGTCTCGAGTCACGTGATCATCATTTCTACAAGAGTATATGTTTACACCAATCTTGGCAGTTCCAATTCTTTGTACAAAGTCGGACCTATTGTACATATAAAATGGTATACCATTACAAGAAGTGCAACATTTATTTTCTGTTTATTTGTGATAACCTTGACAAAAATACCTCTGAAAAAAGTATTCCAAAAAATGATAATATTATTAATATCAAATGTGTACATGTAGTAAGATATGTTTGTCTGATGTTTCGCCGTGTCACTGTCACCATGACACACTTCAATCTTCGACAGTTTGAAAATACGTGACGTTCTTTACAAAATGAATTTGCACGTGATGTTCTACGTTAAAGTACATTGTCTGAATATGTTGTTCTTTGTGTTTAACATGTTTATACACAAACTGAATAGCGGTATGGAAAGATGAGTCAATCCCATCAAAGGTTATTTTATCCCTATTATCGCGTGATGATATCTGGTATAATTTTCAAATAATAAACTGTTTTTTTTCGCATGTTTTTTTAAATGTTTTTTATACATTTTGCTCTTTAAGAGATTAAAGGGGCTTAATGATCTGTTTTAGTCACATTTAACCCAGCATGTTTACATGATTGAAAAGTATAAAATGAAAAATGGTTCAGAGCGTGGCATCATTACTTGGGGAAACTTTGGAAACAACCATGGCACGATTCATCTTCTCCTTTGTTCTTTGTGGTGAGTATTTGTGTTGCAGGCTTAACACGAGCACTGGCCTTTATCGAACTCATTTACGGTTATTTTAAACATAGGTATCTCAAAACGTATGCGGATCTCACCCGTGAAGATCCGGGGTAGAATAGCCGGAAAAGGTGACTAATAGTATGCTTGTTGTAAGAGGCGACTAACGGGATCGGGTGGTCAGGCTCGCTGACTTTGTTGATCCATGTCATCGTATTCCAGTTGTGTGGATCGATGCTCATGATGTCAATCAGTGGATTGCCGGTCCAGACTCGATTATTTACAGAGCGTCGTCATACAGCTGGAATATTGCTAATTTGGGCGTTAAACAAAAAAACAAAAAAACAAAAAATACAGTTGATATAGTAGAGAATGAATGGGATCGATGTGTTTTCTTCCCATACATTCACTATATAAGTGGCCTGTGAGTTCATCAAGCATGGAGACGACAAATCGGTCATGTAAGGTGGCACACACTTATTGATGCTAGAGATGTCACCAATAGTAGTCTCAATAGTAGTTAATATATCATACAGTTATTTATATTGGTATCAAAATGTACGCTTGTCTGAAAGCAGAGTTGACGTGGTGTAGCTGCCACAACCAATTGCGCTATTCCTCAAGCACTGAGCCTCAGCTGCTGATAGATCCGTAGGTCATCCTTCGTGGATCTCTTAACAATCCACAATATGTGTACTTTTGTTGCCATTTTGAGTACACTATCCCCGGTTGTGTTGGAATTGAATCCTGGATCATTAACATGGACAAACCCATTTAAGGTTAGCGTCTCTCCAGAAGGTTAGTAGGCAAAACAATGTACTGAAGTCACGGACATATCATTTAGTAGTACCATCATAAAAATGACGCGAATGGGCCGACTCGGGGCTCTTATCCAAATTAATCGATGCAAACGTTATCGACCAACTGATTCCTTGCAGTGAAAGTTGGTTGGTTGGTTGGTTGTTTAACGCCGTACTCAGCAATAATCCAGCTATATGACGGCGGTCTGCAAATAATCGAGTCTGGACCAGACAATCCAGTGATTGATATCATGAGCATCGATCCACGCAATTGGGATCGATGTGCATTGAAAGTGGATGTTATTATATAATGCAGCATGTACCCCAACTTACCAATCTTCAGAGATTGAAAGTGCGCTTCAAGAAAATAACAATTCCGCATCATAGTTTGTTATGATTATTTCCTTCTTTCAGTGGCCCTGTTTGTCCACCACGGTCAGAGTTGCTGCTGCGGGGGAACCCACATTTCACGCACTTCCTCCTCCTACCCCATCCCCATCCCCGTCCCCGTCCCACAACCAGCCGCCGCACCCAGCAGCAGCTTCCTCCCCACCATCTTCACCACGTTGGGATGAAGCACCGTGAGTATTTTAATATATTTTTCCGATAATCACATAAGATCTGCGAGAGGCAAAAACACGCTGAATATTAACATGGTTTTGATCGGATTGTAACTTTTACTGCTTAGTACACTCATCGGTCCTTTACATCGCATCCCAGGAGCGTAGAACAGTCTTCAAGATGTCTGGTCCAGTGAGTGAGTGAGTTGGGTCTAACGCCACTTTTAACAGTATTCCAGTTATATCATGGCGTGTCAGCTTAATGTGGGAGGAAAGCCCGAAGTGATGCAGGTCTCAGACGTTTACCACTTCGGTGAATCCCACCTGCACGGGTATGGTGCTGACAAACCTAGAAACATAATCAGGGCGAACCGGGATTCGAACCCACAATCATAGGTTTCTGATGTGTCAAAATGATGTGTTAAACAACAAGCAAACAAACCCTAACAAGAAAGTGATACACGCATTCATTGCTCACTGTTTAGCTTAAATAAACGATGAGTGAGTGAGTGAATATGGTTTTACGCCGCTTTCAGCAATATTCCGGCAATATCACGGCGGGGGACACTGTAAATATCGCTGCAATGGAATTACATCACAATGCTTTGCAGACCATTGTGATGTCACTGATTACAATGACAGTTGGCTCTGCAACTGAAGCAGTAGTTTTTTATACTGAAGACACTGCTAATTACTGTCTACAAATCGAAAAAGTTGGAAGAATGATGTTGAATGATAGATAAAATCTCACCCTCGTGTCTATTGATATCAAATATATCAACACTCGTTGATAAAAGTGGCAAAAATCCTCGGCAGGCCTTGGAATTTTTCCACTTTTATCAACTCGTGCTGATATATTTGATATCAAAAGACACTCAGGTGAGATTCTCTATGTCATAAAGTATTAGCCGAGGTCATTATGTACAAATCACCAACATATATTTCTTTATACACGCATCTTATACAAGATGGTTTGAATTGACCAGTTATTCAGCAAGAATGCGCGACACGCATTCAGTGTTCACAGACCACTTGGTCGTGAGTTACAGTAACTGTGGCATAGGTCAATGTGCAATGCGTCTCGGATAAACGACATACAACATACTCATTTAGTGCTTAAATATTATTATATAAATAAGATTTTTTATTTTAAAAGGTATGCAAATATGTACTTTACTGCAGGTTTCACCAATGACAATATATATGTATTATATTGAGAATCCAACCACTCTCCTACCCAGAGTTCCATGCGGCCGGCAGCCAGCCAGCATAGTACCTCTGCCACAGGCCAGCGCCATGTGACGATTCGTCACATCTTTCACAGTCCATTCAAGATATTGCATATGCTTTTCATCCGTTTCATGTTTGACAAGTCTACACATTTTCATAAACAAATGTCAAAGAATGGTTACGGTTCATTAAGAAGGTATGCTAATACGTGAAAATCTACTTGTTTACCTTTGTTTACATTGGTTGTACGGCTCCACGTGCTGTCACCGAAGCCCAACGGAGAGATAGCGATACGGTCACTTTGATGTATAGATATTTATTGTCATGCAACTCACTGTCGCAGTTGTAGTAGCATATCTATATAATTATGCAAAACAATATGTAAGGCGCCCCCCAAATACTTGCATTAGTCCGTTCTATACTGATTTCTGAAAAAGCGCGTTTGTTTACAAACAAGAGATAAGTCCGATCACGTGATATGCAAATAAGCCCGTGGCAGTGGTGTTATGCTGAGTGTGGAATCCAGCCTGGCTTCCAGCATAGCAAAGGTTTGCAGAACATTCTGACGTAATCGGTTACCATGACGTCACAATCAAATGACATCACTAATGCCTCTGCCACTGAAGTTTGTTAGTTGGACTTTTTACACTAAAAGACACTGTTATTACTGTTTACAAACAGAAAAAGTTTGATGTTGGGTCATCAGTAGAATCTCTTCCTCGTGCGTTCCAACATGGCTGAAATAATGCTGTGTGAGTGAGTGAGTGGTTTTACGCCGCTTTTAGCAATATTGCAGGAATGTTAAGGCGGGGAAATAATGCTGTTGCGACGTTAAATTTTAACTTAATTCACTCACTCACCCTCGTATTTTTTTTATTTCAAATATATAAAGACTGTTTAAAGTTCCTTGGCTTATATATAATGTTTTTAATATGTTTATTATATTATTTACAGTTTCTCACAGACAGAGGTGCCTCATCAGACTCACAACATTTAGTTCATGTAGTAAAATAATGTGATTAAATACATCCAATTGACAAAACATGCTTTCCTTTATTGAGTCATTATTTTCTCTGAGTGTTGATTTAAAGCTCAATTACTTTTATCAGTGTACGATAAAAAGCGGAGGAATTTACTGTTTTTCAACGTAGAATAAATTCTCGGTCAACACTTTGAAGTGTCTTTTTTTAAAACCGGTTTAATATTTGCAGTTAAATGTACACCATCAAATAGGAAATTAAATATTCTCCACCTCTTTGTAATTTTATAGCCAGAGGTAGATCCAGTGCCTCGTGAGCGTAATTCTCGCACAACCTTTACTTTACCGATCTTAGGAAAATGTGCGTCAGAAAAAAAACTCGGCATCCAGAGGGTTAACGGCGCTTTGAACAGTATTCTAGTTTATCATATAATGGGTAGGTTTCTCGGCAGGATAAAGCCAACGGATAAAAACGATATCCGTTGGGGTCATATGCGGATGGAGATGCAAATATCACAGGTCAAGTAGGGACTACTTTCACTGTTTATAAACAAACATGGCGACGCACTCGTCATTCGGCGATCGAGTCAGAATTAACCATCGGGAATCTGGATAAACTACAGGGATAATTGCTATCATTATCAAAAGAACAGTCTAATATACTGAAAATCTGTGTCTAACTGTGACGTAGCTAAGGCATTTTATAAGTTTTGTCAACTTTGGAGATATAAATTTCGAAACAATTTGGCGAGGGCACGAGGCCTAGCCAAGCGGGATCAGTAGCCATATCTGTGCTTGTAGACCTCTGCGGCTTGAAACCTCCTCCACAAATAAAAATAGTTGGATTTGGCGGGAATATGTTTGAATTGTTACCTTGTTTCGTTTTGTCGCTTTGTGTACATCTGACTACACTTTTTATTGTAATGACAGGACAGACCGACTGTCAACAAAGTCTGACCGTGGCCGTGACGTCTCATAGACTAGGGTTAGAGTAGCTTCCCTTTGACAAAGGGCAGTTACTCTAGCGGACAGACCGATGGATTGCCGCGAAAGGCAATTAAAAACAATTGTTGTTTTGCGTATATGTTGCTTTGCCACTGTATGAGAAACAGATTTCAGTTGGAACTATATTGGCTACTGTCACTGTCCGACTGACACATCACTTACCCTGTGACGTAATAAATATTAATGCGCGCATTCCAGGAAAACTCGCAATGTTTCGGTAATGTTTGTGAGAGAGGGAAAGCGATTTTGAAGCACAGAATTAAAGAATGACATTATATGATAAAGAGGTTATCACGCTTGTGTGTTTGGGGATGGTAAATATCCTGTATTAGGAATAAACACTATGTTACAATGTTTATTCCTAAAGCAGGATATTTACCATCCCCAAACACACTCGCGTGATAACCTCTATTTATGGCGTGTCTGCTAAATGTGGGGGGAAAGCCCGAAGTGACACAGATCTTCGACGTTTACCATTTATTATAACAAGCAGTGGGATTATATATCAATATCCTTACGCGCACCCGCAAATAGAAAGGAAAGTGGTCAGTCGTTACCGGTATTATGTCATAGAATGTAAATGTTCTCGTTAACTTTTTATCAAAAGCCATCGTGATGGAATTATGACCATGAATCTGGTGAAATAAACAACAATATCGTCATGGGTTTTAATTGTTTTATTCCGTCGTAGAAAGATCTTGCAAACACACAGGCAATGTCCACTTCTTTTTGTGGATACCGCTCAGCATCTCTCTGACAAAAATAATAATATAGTTTGACAAAGGATAATGTACATTCACTTGAGACAAATAGTGAGTGAGTATGGTTTTACGCCGCTTTTAGCAATATTCCAGCAACATCACGGCGGGAGACACCGGAAAATGGGCTTCACACATTGTCACCATGTTAGGAATCGAACCCGGGTCTTCGACGTGACGAGCCAACCATTAGGCTACCCTACCGCCCCTTGAAACAAATAAGTAACCCGTGTTGTCGTCGGTTACTGTTGTGAAACCCACAAGCCCGGGTAGGGTTTAGTCAGACAAGGGGTCGTAATCGGATTGTAATCGTGCAAACCAACGATCAACGAATCCTGGCACGGCTAAGGGGCGTAACTTTGCCCCTTTCGCACTGTTATATGGTTACACGTAATATGTAGAGAAATATTTCATAATTACCGGTTAGTACCAAGTAACATTCTTGATTATATAGTATTTTTATTTATCAAAATACATGATTGTAAATAATAAACAATATCTAATTTTATAATTTTCCATGGAATGATTGATTGATTGTTTGTTGTTTAACGCCACACTCAGCAATATTCAAGCTATATGACGGCCGTCTGTAAAATAATCGAGTCTGGACCAGACAATCCAGGGATTGACATCATGAGCATCGATCCACGTAATTGGGATACGATGACATGCATCAACCAAGTCAGCGAGCCTGACCTCCCGATCCCGTTAGTCGCCTTTTACGACAAGCATAGTCACCTTTTACGGCATGCATGGGTTGCTGAAAACCTATTTTACCCCGTATCTTCACGGGTCCCCATGGAATGATTTATAGATATATTTATGGATGTTATCATGTCATTATTACAACAAAGCTGCCAATGATAACCGTTTTAGCTACCTCGTGAGATTAACCGCCTGTGGTGAGGATGATGGGGAGGAAGTTGGTGTGACTGCCGCCGCCGCTGCTGCCGTGAGACATGGGGACGGGGATGAACATGGGGTAGGAGGACGAGGACGAGTGGGAGGACTTGCTGCTTCCACAGCAACAACTCTCGCCGTAGTTGGCAAACAGAGCCACTGAAACAGGAACATGTTCATGGTTCATCATCATCACTATCATCATACAACTGTGTTGTACTTGTTGTTACTATAATTGGACTGACGGGATCGGGTGGTCAGGCTCGCTGACTTGGTTTGATGCATGTCATCGATCGATCGATGCTCTAATGTCAACCACTGGATTGTCTGGTCCAGACTCGATTATTTACAGACCGCCGTCATATAGCTTGAATATTGCTGAGTGCGGCGTAAAACAACCAACCAACCAACCAACTACAATGAATGAGTGTGGGAGGTTTGTTATTCTCTAACTTGAACAGTATTTATTTCTTGTACATGACGAAACTCGATGAGAGCGTATACGCGTGTATGATGCTGATAGACCAAGGGTCATAATCGGGACCACGACACGAGGATCCTGGCACGGTTAAGGTATACAACTCTGCACAGCGAATTGTGGCTATTTCACACATATTTTCACCATGGAATATATGGTTTTGTTATTAATTTAAGAACCCACAATAAATCATTTCCTATTCTATCTACCAATAGAAATAATTCGACTGAAAGGAAGACTAATACACTATGAAGAACATTTACCAAACAAATCATTGTTAGAATATTTCATCCAGTAAAACAGCTGGGTTTAAAGGAAATCTTAATTGTGGCTAAGAAAGAATGACTGTTAAGTACTCACCACACAGGACAAAAATGCAGAGGAATCTTGCCATTGTTAAGAGTATTTTTTTCACTGATGCCTTATCCTTTCTAGATATCATTATATACCTTGCGATGTTCTTACCCGCGGAGAGACGCGTGACAAACCTTTGGAAAGCCATACAGAGTTTAAGTGGAACTGTGCACGTTTAAGTCAATGTCTAACAAAAAAATACACGAAAAGCTGATCATAAGAGAATTACCGTCAACGCCACATGGTGCTCTAACTGTTCTCCACAGTACGGCGACTGTGTGAAAGTCTACAGAAACGCTTCAAGCACGTGTTGTGTGTGTTAACTTGGTACCACGTGGCGTGAATAGAGCCAGGCGGTATCCTGTTGGTTTGATTGACAGCTGAGGATGACAACATGGTCATGTGACCCGCTGTGTGTTATCGTGACATCGACCACAGCATTGTCCACTAACCACATACAATGGATGAGTTGAATTAATTAACCATGCATGTTTTAGGGTAGTGATCTATGACGGCATCTGTTGGCAGAGGAAGAGGCTTTCAGCAGCAATGATGGATATTTGTTGGGTAAATGATAATTGTCGAGAATGTTGTTTTTTTATGTGAGATGTTGCAATGTGTGACCATGCTTTCGACACCGTAGACGAAAGTAAGTGCATACATATTTTTCATCAACAGTCGCGTTTGTACATCAGATTCAAAATACTTGCCGGGCATATACTATGTGTATACTATACCACTCAATGTTTCATTGGGAACATATGAGTGAGTGAGTTGGGTTTAACGCCGTTTTTAACAGTATTCCAGTTATATCACGGCGTCAGCCTAATTTTTTGGAGGAAAGCCCGAAGTTTATGCAGGTCTCAGACGTTTACCACTTCGGTGAAACCCACGAGCACGGGTATGGTGCTGACAAACCCGGAAACATAATCGAGGCGAATCGGGTTTCGAACCCACGATCATAGGTTTCTGGCGGGCCCAAGGAACGCAACTGTACCGGGACATATGAGTATTCAACCGAATAGTTTTCGAGTCTGCTGTCACTGCAAGCAAGAATAAACACATTCCAATTAGCTGTTGCCCTTGGTGACAGGACACGTGGAGAAGTATATATGAATGAACTTCATCATATGTATAAATATACAGATATAAGCGACCATCTCTTTCCATAATCATGAAGGTCCATTGTACGATTCCGACTATATCACAAGCATGTGTTTATGAATCAGTATCAAATAATGACAATACCAGTGTTCGAACAAAGGAGAGCGTATTCCACCCCACCGATAGAATAGGTCTTCAGCAACCCATGCTTGCCACTGAAGGCGACTAAAGGGATTGGGTGGTCAGGCTCGCTGACTTGGTAGACGCATTTAATCGTATCCTAATTGCGTAGATTGATGCTCATTGTGTCAATCGCTGGATTGTCTGGTCCAGACTCGTTTATTTACAGACCGCCTTCATATAGCTGGAATATTGCTGAGTGCGGCGTTAACCAACCAACCAACTTAGCATTTTTTGCAATTTTGCTGGGGCGTTTAACAAACAAACAAACAAACCGGTCCATG